CATATGGACATGAGTCATGACTTGAATCTCATACAGCGGTTCGTTCTTGGATCCTCATACCTGAGATGTCTAGAGTATCTGATATGAGGAGTGGCGTGTCTTGACTGCGTCAAACGTCGTCTTTAACCGGATGATCATAACGGCGTTGCTCAGATACGTTCACGAATCATATGGAGATAGTAGACATGTAATACGGGACTTGTCACCTCCTTAATAGGAGAGATATCGCTGGGCTCTCTCATGGAAGTCGGACTATGAAAAACGGTGGTCACGCTATAGATGAAGTTGCATCTATTTTATTAGTCGATTTGCCAAGACGAGAAAGCGGTTGAACTTGAAGGGTGGCTCAAACCATGCCCTTGTTCAACATATGATATCGTGAGACAAAGGATCAAAACTCGAGCTGTTAATGCCTTGGTTAGATCACCTCTAACTCAATTCTAAGTGGATGGTCATGGCGTCTTGCTAGAGGCTAACCATGATTTGTGGTTCGGGAAAGGGTTTCCGAAGCCACTACCACTTCGAATGGGCCTAAAGGGTCACACACCATTAGGGATGGACCACATGTGAAGAGAACGGTGCGAGAAGGAACGACGGAACGAGCTGGAAGAGTTCCAGACGGCCAGACCGTCCGGTCCAGACCTGGACCGGTCGGTCCACCCATGCCAGTCCGTCCGTTCTGATAGAGATGCACCATCCATTCCACAGGGGTCAGACTGTCCGGTCCAGACCTAGACCGGACGGTCCGACTTTCGGAAAAAATTTCCTTTTTCGCATAATTAGGGTTTTAGGCAATCCTATTAATTATGGGAGCCACCCCAAACCCTAGGTAATCACAAAAGACGTCCTAGACACTTGATAGAGCATTGGAGAAGCTTTCTCTTGAGTTCTAAAAACCCTAGAATATCGATTCCAAGTCAAAGACGTCGTTTTCTCTTCACAAATCCTAGCAGATACGTTCCAAAGTGTTGGAATCCTTCCCGCCGGTATGGATACGTGTAGAGGAGTTGTACTTTCAGCTCTTGGTGATTAAAACAGGCCCTGGATCAATTGATACTTCGTGATCTTGAAAGAACGAGGTAAGTATTCGAATCCCACGGTGATATACATGTTCTTTCGGGTTATTGCACAATTGGTTTTGTGTGATGTTTTTAGATCTTTTCTTCCGCTGCATGAAACCTAGAAACCAAACCCTAGATCGATGAGATCGCATGCTAGGAACTCGTAGATAACCCAACAGATACCAGTTGAATTCAGGAGAGTCACACTAGATTGTTGTCAAGAACATCCTTCAGTACTTGAGAAGAACTAAGGATTTGTTATTGATGTATGGTGGATTGGAAGATGAGCTTACTATAAGCGGTTATATCGATGCTAGCTTCCAATCTGACCCAGATGACTATAGATCGCAATCTGTCTATGTTTTCTGCTAAAACGGGAGCACGATTAGCTGAAAAAGTTCCAAACAAGAGACCGTTGGAGATTCCACCACAGAGGCTGAGTATATAGCCGCATCGAACGCAGGAAATAAAGCTGTTTAGGTCAGAAAGTTCATCGGAGATCTGGGTGTCATTCCTAGTGCTGAGAACCCTATTGTGTTATACTGTGATAACAATGGGTTATCGCTCAATCCAAGGAATCCATCACTACAAGAAAAACTGTAATTTGCGACCGAAAAATCTGTCGCAACATGAAGAAGAATCTGTCGGTAAAAAATAATTGCGACCGATTACGACCGATGAATGTCGGTCGCTAAATCGTTGTCGCAAAATCTGTGTGGTCGTGATTCTGTCGCAACTTTGCGACCGACATATCTGTAGGTCGTCGGTCGCTAATATACGACAGATGGCTATAGGTCGGTAATCTGTCGCAAATTGGTGAATTGATTTCTGTCGCACATTGCGACAGAAGTAGGAGTAGGTATTCAGTCGCTACTCAACGACAAATTGCATCAGTCGCACTCTGTCGCAAAATAACGACCAAATATAGCGGTAGGTATTCGGTCGCAATTGTCCGACTAAATTCATTGGTCGCACTCTGTCGCAAATGTAAAATTTTTAAAACAAATATTAATAAATAATAATTATTTAAATTAAATTAAAAATTTAAAAATAATTATAAAAATATAAAATATAAAATATTTATTTAAAATTAAAAAGTATTTATTAAATAAAAAGTATTTAGTAAAAACAAATTAACCACTAAACAAAAAAGTTATCCGGATTGTCTGATCCGGTTGTTTGGTCCGCTGGTGTCGTAGAAGGTCCGACTCCGGGCTGAGGAGTCAGAAATGGGTTGAACGGCATATCTTGCGCCGTTGGTGGGTCGTCTCGAGGAGGAAATAGCCGGGCGAAAAGCGTCTCGTAACGCGCAATCCGTGCCTCAGCTTCTTCAAGTCTAGCAAGCACTTGTCAAGGCCTCGATCGTACGTGTCATGGGCCATGCCAAAGCTGGGTGTGCCGTATTATCTTGGTGAGGCAACGCCGTATATACGTCCTTTGGCATCGGGTTGGACAACCTACAAAATCAAAAATATACGTTAATTAAACTAATTTAATAAAAAAATAAAAAAAATATAAATTTACCTCCAGATAGAGGCTGTTGATTTCTGCTGGCGAAA